CGTGCATGCCCAAGATCCCGAGAGGAGAATGGAGGAGAAGGGATTGCGGCGTGACCATCCCCCCTGGGGGGTGATTTCTCGCTTTCTGTCTTTCTGTCTCTCTCTCTCTGTCTGGCGAGTGCATGCGCCCTATAGCAAAAACCTCTCCAAAAAAAAAAAAGCTAAAAAAAAAGCTAAAAAGCGAACAGAAAGGAAACGGTGTGTCTTTGGTGCTCGGTGCCATGGGCTGGACCAGGACAAAGCTGGTTCCTCCTGAGGGCCTGGCTCGGGCAACCCTGGGCTCACGGGCCCTCCTACTTGGCGCTCCCTGGAGAGCTGACGGGCACCCAAGTCCCAGACAGTGGTGAACGTGCAGCTATGGGGCTCAGTGGGAGGTGGCAGCATTTTCCTTGGTGGAGCGAGGAGGCAGGCCGGGAAGCGTGTGGTGGGTGGTTTCTCCTACAGGCCTCGGGCACTCCCGGCCCCATGGTGAGGCACGTTTCTTTCTCAATAACTGAGTCCTGTGAACAAGGTTAAAGCAAAGCTGTCTGTCCTTGTCTCGCCGGGGGCCCTGCGACTCCAGCGACCTCTGTTCATCCCCTTCTCTTGGCTGCCCACTCTGTCCCCTCTGTGAGTGTGGGTTCCACAAGTGGAAGGACAGGTGTCACCAGCAGCCCCAGTCAGCAGGGAGGGCCGAGTGCTGACCTGAGACAAAGGCTCAGAACCATTGACGCTGCCCCCCGAGGCACAGACAGCCCAGGAGGTCCCCAGAGGAGAAGCAGCCGGACGAGACAGATGTGTACCCCAGTATGGATGCCCAGAGCCACAGATAGCAGGTGCCCAGCGACAGCTGGAGGTGACATGCAGCACCCCACCCCAGCCAGGGCAGGAGCCACTCCCAGGAGCAGCCCGACCAGAGGGAAGCCCCCAGGACTCACCGCGTCACACTTGCACTCGAGGGCATGGGTGACCTCATCGGGAAGGGACACCCCAGACCTTCCACATGAGCTGGACCCTGCTGGAAGGCCTACCCCTACCCCATGAAGCCTCTGATCTGTTTTCTGTCCCTTCGGTTTACATTATTTTAGAATTTTATATAAATGGCGTCCCTCGATATGAACTTTCGGGAGTCTGGCTCTTATTAGCAATGTTACTTTACGACCTCTGAGTGTCGTATGTATTGGTGGCTCGGCTTTTCATTGCGAGTGCTCGTCACCCTATGGGTAGGCACGGTGTGTCCGTCCGTGTACCCGGTGTGAGCGTTGGGCTGCGCCCGGTTTGGCTGTGACCAGAGGGCTGCGGGAGCACGCGGTCCAGGTCTCTGCAGAACGCGCTTCCGTTCCTCTTGGGTAATGCCTGGGAATTCTCTAGGCATGGAATTGCAGCATCACGGGAAAGGGCGAAACCGGCCAGGGCCAAGTAAATGCCATGGCCGGGGTGGCTGAAGCAAGTCCCGAGGCCGAGAAGTCTAGGGTGCTGGAGACCTCAGTTCCTGTTGAGGGCTTCTCCCTGCTGAATGTCCTCTCACTACGGCCGCCGTGACGAGGGCAGAGGGAGCCGCCCACACCTCTTCTCACAGAGGCACTGAAGAGGGCTCCACCCTCGCGAGCGGGCCACCTCCCAAAGGCCTCATCTGCAGATGCCATCACATCCGGGATTAAGTTCCAGAATAAAAATTGGGGGCCGGGGTCTGCCCATAGTAGTAGATGTATGGCCTTTCTTTCTTTTCTTTTTTTTTTGGAGAGGTTTTCGCTATAGGGCGCGTGCGCTCACCAGAGAGACAGAGAGACAGAAAGTGAGAAATCACCCCCCAGGGGAGATGGCCATGCCACAACCCCTTCTCCTCCATTCTCTTCTCGAGATCTTGGGCACACACACACACATGTGCCCAGCATGAGTTTAAGCCACCGGGTCTGGGACTTGAACCACGGTCAACTACATGGGACTCCAGCGACATAGCCATTATGTCAACTGCTGGTCCCTGTGTCGCCTTGTGAAGAAGCTGCTAAGCTGTCTTCAGGACTGAGTGTGTACCATTTTCTGTCCTTGTCAGCATGGATGAAAGTCCCAGTCGCTCTGGGTTCTAGTCAACACTTGGTCTGGTCAGCGCTTTTCATTCTGAAACAGTAGCGTCTTACTGTGGTCTTAACTTACATTTCCCTTCTAACTGCTGACCTTTACTATCTTTTCATCTGCCTACTTGCCATCAACTTATCTTCTTTAGTGAGGCATCTGTTCACATCGTTTGTTCTTTTTATTGGGTTGTTCCCAGATTACTGCGCTTTGAGAGTTCTTTCATATATTCTGGGTCCATATCTGGTCAGAGAGGTGGTTTGCATATGTCTCTTCCCAGGATGTGGCTTGGTTTTGCTTTTTCCTAAAACTTTCCAACTTTGAGAGTTTCAGTTTTGTTGAAGAATGTCCGGTTTATTAATTTCTGCATCCATGGAGTATGCTTCTGCTGTAACTGCAGAAAAAGAAAAGGGAAAACAAAACAAAACAAAACAGCTTCCCCTCCTACTACCTAACAAAGTTCCAAAGGATTTTCCTTATATTTTCTTCTGAAAGTTCGATAGTTTTAGTCTTTACATTTAGGTCTCTGACCCTTTGTGGGTTATTTGGCGTGTGGGGGTGGTGGTGAGGGGGTGGGGGGAGTGTCTTAGACTGGATCTTTCTGTCAAGATCGTCCAACCTCAGCCTCCCAAGAAGCTGGGGTTGCAGGTGCACATCACTGTGCCTGGCTCTGTTTTCTTTTTATACATGGTATGAGGTATGGTTAGAAGTTCTTTTTTAGTATCTGGTTATCTCCTTGTTCCAACACTATTTGTGAAAACACTCTCTATTTTTCACCAAAGTAATAGCCTTTTCAGCCTTGGCGGATAGTCAGTTGACTGTCTATGTGTGAGTCTTCTGAGGACTCTGTTCTGACCCGTTGATCTGTGTGTACATCTGAATGCCACTATCACTACTGAGTGCCGTGGCTTTGTTAGATTTCGTAGTGTCAAGAGTGTGGGCTCTTCCCTTTGTTTGGTGGTGGTTTTTGTTTGTTTTGCCTACTCAAGGTCCCTGATGATTCTATGTCCATTTTAAAATCATTTTGTCAATTTCTACCCCCAAAAAATTGCTAGGATTTAGACTCAGAGTCATTGAATCTGTAGATCATTTTTGGAGAATTGGCATCTTACCAGTATTGAGCCTTCTGGTCCATGGTTATGGTATATCTCTTTGTTTACTTAGGTGTTTTAAATATTTTTTTCAGTAATATTTGGAAGTTTTCAGTGTACAGGTCTTATACAACTATTTTCAGATTTATCTCTGAGTATTTACTTTTATTTCTTGATGCTTTTGCAAATAACATTTAAATTTCTTCTAATTTTTTAATGTTGGTGGCAAGTATATAGAAATACAATTACTTTTTGTTTGTTTTTCTTGTATCCTACAACCTTGCTAAATTCATTTATGAGTTCTACCTTCTTTTTCTTCATTCATGACAGAGTGCCTGCATGTGAGACAGAGACAGAGTCAGAGGGATAGAGAGAAGAGCACCTTCTGCAGAGTCTGGTCACCTGTATTCTGCTTTCTGCATCTTCTAGCCTATGGGGTCCCCAGCACTCGTGTGCATTACACTGGAGCTGGCCCCTCTAACTTTTTTTTTTTTTTTTTTGCATCAATGAGTTAAGCATGTGATCTTTCTTCCTTGGTGCATTGTTGTACCAAGTTGCACTGACTGATTTTTTTTTTTTGATAGGTTTTTGCTATAGGGTGTGTGCACTCTCCAGAAAGGCAGAGAGGGACAGAGAGACAGAAAGCGAGAAATCACCCCCCAGGGGGGATGGTCACGCCGCAATTCCTTCTCCTCCATTCTCCTCTCGGGATCTTGGGCACGCACGCACACGCGCCTGGCGTGAGTTTAAGCCACTGGGTCCAGGACGTAAACTGCAGTCGACTACATGGGAGTCCAGCGACATAGCCATTACGCTAACTGCTGGTCCCACACTGACTGCTTTTCAAAATGGTGGCACAACCTTGCTTTCCTGGAATAGACCTAACTTGTTCTTGATGTGTTGTCCTTTTCATTATTGTTGGAACTGATCTGCTAACGTTCTGCAGAGAGTTTTTCATCTGAGTTCAGATTCTGGTTTTCACTCCCGCTCTTTGCCAGTGACTGACTGCTGTGAGTAGGGGCTTCCCCGTCAGTCAGGCTCATGGGCCCAGACGTGGGCATGGAGAGCTGTTCCTTCCGCTGGGGCCGTGAGTAGTGATTCCCACAAAGGGAGATGTAAACAGCAGCTGTTCTAGGGTATGCCTTCTACACTCGTGGGGGCCTGGAGTTCTGGGAGGGTCCTCTTCCTTCTACTACCCAACCCCAGGTGCCCACGCTGCCTCTGGCATGGCGTCCCATCATGCACTGGGGATCCCTGCCTTGGGAGCTGGGATTCGGGGACCATGTTGGGTGTACCCAGGCGTCTGTCCCGCTTAGGGGCCCGTTAGGGATATGAGTCAGGGACTGAGAGATATTTCTGCATTCCGACCTATTCACCCCTGTTTTCAGGCTGATCTTGCGGAAATGCTGTGAGGAGAGCAGCTTTATGGCAGCTTTGCGTATTGCCTGGGCCACGGTGGTGCCGGCAGCCAGGTTCTAAGAGGAGGGTTTGGCTGAGGAAATGCCACGATGTCCGCTGCATAGAAACCTCCAGAACCTGCGGAGGTGGCTTGTGCAGATGCAGTGACAGCAGGCGGCCTCACACGCAGCCTTAAGCCAGAGTAGAACCGGTTCCGCAGTTCTGTTTACGTGAAGACCTGAGTTAAGATGGAAGTTGATGTGCAGCAGAGGGGCTGTTTTCTGGGCCATGTTGTTCTTTTCCTAGCTTCCTAAGTGTCTTTGGTGAATACAGATAACTTTCAACAAATCTGGAGCAGACTGGGACGCACCGTGCAGAGCTGCGCCGACCGTCGCTCCACACCACCACTGCCGCACGGGTCCCAGCTCCGTGGGTCTCAGCACCCCCTCTCTCTTGCAGGCTTTGGGATCCATCACTGCAGTGCCTGTCACAGGTCCTCAGGTCAGCTCCTTGCAGAGGTTGGCCGGGCAAGGAGCGGCAGTGCTACCTCAGGTAAGCCGCCTTCGCAGGACCCGGGGTGTCTGTCTGTCTGTGCCCAGCTCCTGAGGTTCTGGCAGGTGCTGAGCTGGGTGGGACCGCGCCCTCTCGGCCCCCCTCGGGCAGCACTGTATTCTCCAGGGGAGACACGTGCACCAGGAATGACTTCCAGACAGCGAGGAGGGTCCCGTTCAGTGGGACGTGACCACGATTGTGCTCTAAATAGAATAAACGAGGCCCGACTGAAACAGAGCAGCGCGTGGCAGGCGTGCTGGCATCATTTCTCGTGCAGTTTGTTTCTGTGCTGGGTCACGATGGAACACTATGTTAACTGCGGGTCATGGTTAAAAGGTGTAAAACCCTGGACCCGGTACTGAGTATTTACTTTTATTTCTTGATGCTTTTGCAAATAACATTTAAATTTCTTCTAATTTTTTAATGTTGGTGGCAAGTATATAGAAATACAATTACTTTTTGTTTGTTTTTCTTGTATCCTACAACCTTGCTAAATTCATTTATGAGTTCTACCTTCTTTTTCTTCATTCATGACAGAGTGCCTGCATGTGAGACAGAGACAGAGTCAGAGGGATAGAGAGAAGAGCACCTTCTGCAGAGTCTGGTCACCTGTATTCTGCTTTCTGCATCTTCTAGCCTATGGGGTCCCCAGCACTCGTGTGCATTACACTGGAGCTGGCCCCTCTAACTTTTTTTTTTTTTTTTTTGCCATCCATGAGTTAAGCATGTGATCTTTGTGATCTTTCTTCCTTGGTGCATTGTTGTACCAAGTTGCACTGACTGATTTTTTTTTTTTGATAGGTTTTTGCTATAGGGTGTGTGCACTCTCCAGAAAGGCAGAGAGGGACAGAGAGACAGAAAGCGAGAAATCACCCCCCAGGGGGGATGGTCACGCCGCAATTCCTTCTCCTCCATTCTCCTCTCGGGATCTTGGGCACGCACGCACACGCGCCTGGCGTGAGTTTAAGCCACTGGGTCCAGGACGTAAACTGCAGTCGACTACATGGGAGTCCAGCGACATAGCCATTACGCTAACTGCTGGTCCCACACTGACTGCTTTTCAAAATGGTGGCACAACCTTGCTTTCCTGGAATAGACCTAACTTGTTCTTGATGTGTTGTCCTTTTCATTATTGTTGGAACTGATCTGCTAACGTTCTGCAGAGAGTTTTTCATCTGAGTTCAGATTCTGGTTTTCACTCCCGCTCTTTGCCAGTGACTGACTGCTGTGAGTAGGGGCTTCCCCGTCAGTCAGGCTCATGGGCCCAGACGTGGGCATGGAGAGCTGTTCCTTCCGCTGGGGCCGTGAGTAGTGATTCCCACAAAGGGAGATGTAAACAGCAGCTGTTCTAGGGTATGCCTTCTACACTCGTGGGGGCCTGGAGTTCTGGGAGGGTCCTCTTCCTTCTACTACCCAACCCCAGGTGCCCACGCTGCCTCTGGCATGGCGTCCCATCATGCACTGGGGATCCCTGCCTTGGGAGCTGGGATTCGGGGACCATGTTGGGTGTACCCAGGCGTCTGTCCCGCTTAGGGGCCCGTTAGGGATATGAGTCAGGGACTGAGAGATATTTCTGCATTCCGACCTATTCACCCCTGTTTTCAGGCTGATCTTGCGGAAATGCTGTGAGGAGAGCAGCTTTATGGCAGCTTTGCGTATTGCCTGGGCCACGGTGGTGCCGGCAGCCAGGTTCTAAGAGGAGGGTTTGGCTGAGGAAATGCCACGATGTCCGCTGCATAGAAACCTCCAGAACCTGCGGAGGTGGCTTGTGCAGATGCAGTGACAGCAGGCGGCCTCACACGCAGCCTTAAGCCAGAGTAGAACCGGTTCCGCAGTTCTGTTTACGTGAAGACCTGAGTTAAGATGGAAGTTGATGTGCAGCAGAGGGGCTGTTTTCTGGGCCATGTTGTTCTTTTCCTAGCTTCCTAAGTGTCTTTGGTGAATACAGATAACTTTCAACAAATCTGGAGCAGACTGGGACGCACCGTGCAGAGCTGCGCCGACCGTCGCTCCACACCACCACTGCCGCACGGGTCCCAGCTCCGTGGGTCTCAGCACCCCCTCTCTCTTGCAGGCTTTGGGATCCATCACTGCAGTGCCTGTCACAGGTCCTCAGGTCAGCTCCTTGCAGAGGTTGGCCGGGCAAGGAGCGGCAGTGCTACCTCAGGTAAGCCGCCTTCGCAGGACCCGGGGTGTCTGTCTGTCTGTGCCCAGCTCCTGAGGTTCTGGCAGGTGCTGAGCTGGGTGGGACCGCGCCCTCTCGGCCCCCCTCGGGCAGCACTGTATTCTCCAGGGGAGACACGTGCACCAGGAATGACTTCCAGACAGCGAGGAGGGTCCCGTTCAGTGGGACGTGACCACGATTGTGCTCTAAATAGAATAAACGAGGCCCGACTGAAACAGAGCAGCGCGTGGCAGGCGTGCTGGCATCATTTCTCGTGCAGTTTGTTTCTGTGCTGGGTCACGATGGAACACTATGTTAACTGCGGGTCATGGTTAAAAGGTGTAAAACCCTGGACCCGGTAACTGATTTCAGGAGGCCACGGACCCTGGGTTCTAGAGTCCCCCAACTTTGGACAAGTCAGCCTGACCTTCGCCTTCCTGGTCCGCGGTCCCTCGCCTGCTAATGTAGGTGCCTACTCTGTCCATCAGCGGCCACGAAGGTCGATGCAGATGACACAAAGCGCCGTAGCCATGCCTGGTGTAGAGCAAAGGCTCGTTTTCAGCCGGCTCCCTGACAACCACGAGCTCAGCCATGATGGGCAGCTGCTGGCTGCCCCTTACCTGGCCTGGGCTGCCACCTGCAGAGACTGGAAGGCTCTTGGCTTCCCTGGGGCTGCTGAGAGGCAGCCGTGCTGGCGCCCTTGCCCATGGCAGCTTTCCCCACAAGCCTTACACGTGCTGGGTCCTACAGGGCCTTGCCCTGCGAGGTTCAGTCAGGTGGGAAGGCAGATTGGGAGACTTCCGAATCTCAGCAGATGTGGCCCTCAGGACACACGGGGTGGTGGGAGCCCTGGAGAGACCTGTTGCATGCCTGGGAGGTAAGGAAGGCTTCCTAGAGGAAGGGTTCTTGAACCTGACTTTGGAGTGGGAGTGTGTTGGAGGTGGAGGTGGAGGGGCCTATGCAGAGTGAGAAGCAGAAGCACGGGTGGTGGGAGGCCAGAGTCGCCATGGCCCTGGGAGAGGGCAGCTGGAGCAGGTAGGGAAGTGGAGGCCAGCAGGGCTTTTCAGTGCTCTCGGGGCCTGGGAGCTGAGCTTCCTGGGTCCGCGGTGGGGAGCCACACGAGGCCTGTGAACGGTGAAGGCAGGAGGGGGCCCTAGGGAGAAGCCTCCAGTTGAGGTCAGTGCTGTTTTTCTTGGAGCTGTCACTCCACGTGCAGCCCTCTCTCCATCCCAGCACACGGGCACACATGTGCACACACACTCACACACATGTGCACACAAGTACTGTCCTCATGTAGCTGCTTACTGGGGCCTCTGCCTCCCTGCCTCCCTCCGCTCACCTGGCTCCTCCCAGGCTCCTGTACCATGTGTTGCTCTTGTTGTCTCCAGCCCCCCTGCCCCACGTCGGGCCCTGCGTGGACATGCTAGCCTCCACATCGGCCAATGGTGGCCAAAGGTGCCCAAGGCTCACCTTGTCCAGCTGCCGTCCAAGGGAGCTTGCGGGGAGGTTGCCATGATGGGTCCCCTTGGGGCCGACCCTACCCAGAGCAAAGAGAGAGAGTGGTGGCCAGGAGGACCCCAGAGTCACGGCCTGGGTCTGCGTACTCCCCTGGCACAGCCAAAAGGCTGTGGGCCCCACACGTGCCTGGGTTGAAGTCTGCATCGTCCTGCTAAAAATGATTTTCCTCCTGGCTCCAGCTCCCCAACCTGGGGAGTGGGTTACGGAGTGGGTTATGGATTGGGTTACGGAGTAATCGCTCCCCTCACCTGGAGAGTGAGTTATGGGGTGGGTTATGGATTGAGTTACGGAGTAAGCGCTCCCCCACCTGGGGAGTGGGTTACAGAGTGGGCGCTCACCCTCCTGGGGAGTGGGTTACAGAGTGGGCACTCACCCTCCTGGGGAGTGGGTTATGGAGTGGGTTATGGATTGGGTTGTGGAGTAAGCGCTCCCCGACCTGGGGAGTGGGTTACGGAGTGGGTTATGGATTGGGTTGTTGAGTAAGCGCTCCCCGACCTGGGGAGTGGGTTATGGAGTGGGTTATGGAGTGGGCGCTCCCCCACCTGGGGAGTGGGTTACAGAGTGGTAGCTGGTTGATGTCAGCCAGCACACACGGGCAGGCCCTGGGTAGCCAGGAGGAGCTAGCAGAACACAGCACAAGGTCCTGACTGGCCCTTGCTCGCGCTCCATCTGTCCCCACACAGCAGCGAACACCGTGCTTCGGCCGCTGCCCATCTGCGGCTGGGGCTGGCAGGGACTGGGAGGGTGCTTTTGGAATTTCTGCGTTCAGCGTTGGTGTTTGTGTTTTGCTGTGACAGCTCACAGCAAACACAGGCCAAATGTCTGACCGCTGGTGCCAAGGACAGAGCAGCGGGCTCACCTGACCCTGGCAGGCCAGTGTGCTGAGACCCACTGTGGTGAGGGATGAGGAGGCCTCTAGAACTGAGGACAAGCTGCATGCCCGGCACTGGCCAGTGGTGGCCCCGTGGTGATCTGTCTATGGTCCTAGAGCCCGGCGGGAGCTGCCCGGACCTCTCCCCCCACGTGCGTTCCTGGAGAAAGGGCAGGGGGTCTGTGGGCATGGGTGGGGCCCACAGTGCTCTGTGGTCCTCACTAATGACGGACGGACTCATGGACACCCTGGGCTCAGGGCCACTGCCCTAATGGTGAGATGACCCAGCCTCGGCTTGCTCTTCTGCTGGACAGGCCGGTGCACCTGCCTGCTGCGGCCACACTGAGGCTCTAGTAGGCCAGGTCCCTGCTCCAAGCCTCCCTCGCCTCTCTTCGGGTGAGACTAGTGTGGTCCTCCTGGGGTTGGCATGACTGCACTGGGCCACAAGGGGTGCTGGGGGCTCGATGCTGTGGTGGCTGTTTTGATGGTGCTGGCATGGATGTGGGTGAGGGGACACCAGTGACAGCCAACAGTCAAGGGCACTGCATTCTCTTCCCTGCCCCCAACCCCAGGTGGGTCCTATCACCCCTGCTGCACCAATGAGGGACCTGGGCCCAAGGACATTCTGTCATGTACCCAAGACCACGTAGGTTCTGGAGGAGCCAGGATTGGCCCCGGCAGCCTGCCCAGAGCCCTGGCATGAACCACCTCTGGTCCTTGCAGCTGCTGGTCTCGTGAGCAGTGACTGCTCCTGAGAGTGGGGGAACTCTGCTGCTCTGGGGTGCAATGTGACCAGAGTCCTCGGAGGGACTGTCCCTATGTGTCCAAGGGCTGTTCCCACAGCCCAACCTGTCCACTTCCTCAGTTGAGCTGGAAGAACTTGATCCCAGAGTGGTTCCTTCTGGCCCCATGGCTGGGCGGTGCCAGCCCAGGACGAGAGGCGGTACCCAGGGAGGCTTCAGAGCCAAGGCCTCCCTGGGGTGAGACTTGGGAGGGTCCCCTGCCCTTGCCGATGCCATCCCCTGCCCTCCCACGTGGGACGCCTCTGAGCCAGGTCTCCGCTTGGGGACGCCCACCCATCGTGCTGGGCTGCCCTGCCTGTGTTTGTTGTCTGACCACACACCTGTGCCTTCCTCCCAGGTTAGGCCAAAGACTCTGATTCCAGACAGCCTCCCCGTCACCCCGGGCCGGGACCGGCCACCCAAGCAACCCCCAGCGTTCCAGAAGGCCACCGTGGTCAGCATCAAGAACCCCAGCCCAGCCCTCCCCACCGCCAACAACACCGTCGGCCATGTGCCGGCTCCCAGCAGCCAGCCCCAGGCTCTATCCGAGCCCGCCATCGCCTCGCCCCTGAGTAGCGCCGGGGTGGCCTACGCCATCATCTCCACCTCCCCTAGCAATGCCACCACCATGACCCCCAGCACCGCCATGTCCATGGTCGGCCATGGCATCAAAGCCCAGCCCCTCCTCATCAGTGCCGACGACAAGGTGAGTGCCGTGGCCTGCCGAAATACCTGCCGGGAAGGCCTGTCCTTGGGCGCCCAGGCTTCCGTCCAAGGGGCCAGGCCTCGGCGGGGTGAATGGCTGGGAGGCGGTGGAGCGGCCAGCTGGGCGAACGGATGACTGAGTGGGTGGGTGTGAACCCATGCTGCTCCCTCCCTGTCGTCTGCACCACCCTTGTCCTTCCCCTTCTGTCACTCTGCCTCCCCCACCCCCGACCTCTCTGGTCCCTCCCGCCCACCCCACACACATGCCTCTCTGGTCCCTCCTGTCTGTCCCCACTGCCGTCTGTCCATCCCACTCACCTGCTGTCTGTCTCCCAGGTCATCATCATTCAGCCTCAAGTGCAGACACAGCCCGAGAGCACGGCAGAGTCGCGGCCACCCACAGAGGAGCCATCTCAGGGAGCTCAGGCCACCAAAAAGAAGAAGGAAGACCGGCCCCCGAGCCAGGAGAACCCCGAGGTGAGTGCCCTTGCTGGAGACTCCGGCCCTGCGCAGGTCGTGGTGCAGCCCAGGGCTGTGAGGAGTCTGTGCTGTGCAGGGGGTAGGGATCACCTCACCTGGGGTGGTCCCAGCAAGTCCCGGGCCCTGCCCCACACACAGGACCCACCCACAGGCCCAGGTCTCAGCCTTTCCACCTCCACTGTGTTGGCCGAGTGGTGGTGTGGAGTGGCGGTCGGCGCAGCTCTGCACGATGTGTCCCAGTCTGCTCCAGACTGCTGGCTCGCAGGGGTGTGGCCGTGGGCAGGTGGTCTGTGTCCTCCACTATACTGGGAATGGCAAGGCCTCCTTCCTCACAGGGTCGGTGAGCAGAGTCCATCCCAGGGACGGTGCCTGGGTCCTATGGTCTCTGCACACTGTCCGAGGTGACCCGGTCCTGGAGATGTCACTGCGGCCTTGGGCTGGCATAGGCAGTGAGGTGGCCCCTGGAGGAGCAGTAGAACTTCCCGGAAGTTGCAGAGCCCTACCTCTGCAGCTGCGTCTGCAGGAGGAGAGGGACTGCTCTCGGCCAAGCCTCACTGATGCGTCGGTGGTCCTGATGGTGGCAGCTGACCACTCGCACCTTCCTGGTGAACTTGGGACAGCAGGCACTGGTCCTTGCATCGCGGCCTGCACCCCAGCCATCCTGGACAAATAGACCCTCTCCCTCCCCTCAGGCCCTTTTTCTAGGCACCTGTCCCCACCTGTTCCCGTCTCCTTGTGGAGTCCTCGTTCATCCTGCAAAGCTCAGTTAGGACACGGTCCCCTCCAGAGATCCTTCCCTACCCCACAAGCCAAAGCAGCCCCTTCAGGCCCCGCAGCTCCAGAGGTTCCCTCTGCCGACATGCGGTGGGCACCTGGCATTTGCTCTCTGCCAGTCTCAGAGCCAAGGGCCGGGGATGCCGAGCTGGGCGGATGTGGTCCTTGCCCGAGACAAGTCCTCTGCTGTGGGCAGGAACAGGCGAGCGTCAAGGGTGGGGGAGCGTTGTAACCTGAGCTGCGGAGGTTGGCACCTCTGTCTCCTCCTGGAAGGACCGAGGAGGGCTGTGCAGAGGGAGCACGGACCCAGAGACCGAGGGGTTGCCTCACGGAGGGCTGGAGGAGGCTGCCAAGGGGAACTTGATTCCTTAGGTCGTGGGGAGCTGTGGCACGTCTGAGAGTGACTTGATTATCGTCCTTTGATATGTCCAAAAGCCCAAGAAAGCCGACTGCACCATGAGGCTGCAGTGGAGACCAAATCTCCTCTGGGCCGGCTCAGCTCCAGGCCGTCGCTTCTAGTTCAAGGCCACATCTGAGCACCGTCTGCAGCCCGGGCTCCCTCGGGCACCCTTGCGTCCGCCCTGGGTGTTTGCTGCACCCTTAGCAGTCAGGACGGCTTTCTGGGTGGATTCTCCTTGTTCTCTCCAAGTACATCTTAGTCGGTTATTGTGCATTTATACAATTAGGATAATTACATCTAACTACATAATTAGTGTAAATACGTGTAATGACTTAAATGGAACTTGCAATTACAACACGTCCTGGTGTAAAAATCCTTATTAAAGTTTCGTTTACAAGAGGGCCAAGAAGAGTCGTGTAGACCTGTGGGCTTGGAACTTGTCAGCGCAGGGTCTGTGTGACAAGCCCTGGGAGCTGATGCAGGGGCCATCCCCAGACACTGCATTGATGAGCCCGTGGGGAGCCAGGGCCACCATGTGGGCAGACTGTGAAGGAGCTCACGCTGGTGTCTGTAAGGCTTGGCCACGGGCTGCAGCCTCGGGCCGTGGTGTGCCCACCTCCCCGCAGTGGGCGTGCACACAGGGTGGGCCGGCTTGGTGGCTGTGTGAGCTGTGCTGACCATGCCCAGGAATGCAGTGGGAAGTGATGTGGGGAAGAATATTCCGGGAGCTCTTGGATCCCAAGGGGATGTGGAGAGTGCAGCAGGGCATGGCAGCCACCCCCCGAGAGAGCTGTTGCTGTCAGCTGGGGAGCTCAGCGCGTCAGGCTCAGCTCACCGCGAGCACCCTGTGCCGGGGCGGTTAGCCGGCCATGCACACAAGGATGCTGCACCCAGGGGTCACGGCTGCCAGAGCCGGGGGCGGGCCCAGGCAGTCTGGCCCGGGACCCGGGGTCTGTGCTGAGCCACCTTGGAAGAGCAGAGGCTGGCTCCGTCTCCAGCCATGCTGAGTAGAGGGGAGCTTGACATCATGAAGAGTCTGGCTGTTCTCCAAGATCTCTCCTGCTTCGCCCACTCACAGTCCTGGGGCCCCAGGCTGGCCTCACCCCGACCAGGGCCCCTGCACTTCTGAGAGATTCCAGAGGGTCAGTGGGTGTGGGACCAGGTGACGGGTTGCTGGGGAGCTCACAGCCCAGCCTTACTTTCCTAAGTTTACCCTGCTTTCTCCTCAGTGTGTCTACTTTCTCACTGCGTGTGTCCCGGTGTCCCACAGGGCCCTTCCCTGACGCTGGGGTGTCCGTAATACATGCTCCTCTCCCTGTGTCGGCTCTCCCTGTGACTGGGTCAAAACCTCCTCGAAGGACCTGCTGCGCCTTCTCTTGTGTGTGGCTGAGACTGGCCTTCCCGTCAGGTCACAGCTGCGGAGGCCAAAGTCTCAAGACCCTGAGCCCAGGCCGCACGCAGGATGCCTGGGCACGCTCCTGTCAGACCCCCGACCCACACAGGTGGCATCATATCCCGTGTTTGGACGTGCAAACCCCAAGCTCAGAGCAGCTGGGCAACTTGCTCAAGGGCACAGAGGAACTTGACAATTTGTGCCCACAGGGTGTCAACCTCAGCATCCCTGTCCTTTCTGCTGTTCCGCAGGTGCCTCCTGGTTTCTGTGATGACAAAGTGACAAGTATGTCAATAAGTAGAAAGTGAGGGCTGGAGAGAAGGTCGAGGCTGGGGCGGACCTGGTGCCGTCCGTGTCTGCGCTCGCGGCCGTCAGGGGCTCTGCAGCTCTGCAGCTCCCCTGGGCTGTCTTACCGTGAGTGTGCCTCTCGAGAGCGGGTGCCCACTCACAGCAGGGCTCGCCACGTCTGTGGCCTCTGCAGCCTGTCATGCCGTCACCACCAGGTGTTGTTGGAGCCCCGAGATGCTGGGGAGGGGAGTAGGGAGCCAAGCTCAGGGACGTGAAGTGACAGTGTCCACTTCAGGCCTTATAAGGACACATGACAACCCCAGTCTGCAAGCTTCCATGTTTCTTGTCCTCTGTCACGTCCTCTCAGTGGCTCTGTGAAGTGGGCAGGGCAGGAATTACATGGTTCATTTAACAGAGAGGCAGACAGGGTGCTTGGTCACAGAGCTGCATGCTGGGCCCAGACCGGACCTCGGCTCCTGGCATTGGACTTGGGACTCTCTGTCCTGTCCCAAGGCCCACGGTCTTCGTTAGGACAGAGCTGTGGCCTTTTCTAAGACCACCCATTATCTGGGCCTCAGGCAGTGTCTGGCTGAGCCTGGCTACCCTGTGGTCAGACACGCCCTGCAGAGGGACAGAGCACAGTTCCAGGTCTGGCCACCTCTGTGGGTAAGACCCGGCCACACGTGCTCCTCCCCTCTACATTGTGCCCTGGCCTTGCCTCTCGCCTGGGCCCCTGTGGGGAAGGCCAGCCAGTCTCCCTGGCCCTCCGTGGGTGCCGCCCTGTCCTTTCACCCTGCAGTGAGAATTATCTTCCTGATATTCTGTGGGTAAGCCCCGGCCACCCGTGCTCCTCCCCTCTACATTGTGCCCTGGCCTTGCCTCTCGCCTGGGCCCCTGTGGGGAAGGCCAGCCAGTCTCCCTGGCCCTCCGTGGGTGCCGCCCTGTCCTTTCACCCTGCAGTGAGAATTATCTTCCTGATATTCAGACATGACCGAGTCTCTCGTCTCCTGGAATCCATCAGAGCACACCCCATCAGGCTGGCTCTGAGTTCTCCCTGGGATGGACCCCTCTACCCAAACCCACAGCAACGGCTGAAGACATTCACAGAGATGCGCAGAAGTAGTCGGGCACTGCCCTGTCCCCGAAGCTCAGCAGTGGGCAGGCCAGCACCCAGGCTGCAGAGCTTCACGTTCAGCATCGGGTGAGGGTGACGGGGAGAGCGTGGGTCCTGGGAGCTCAGGAGGGCAGTGCAACCAGGCCCGCTGGCTTGTCTGGCAGGGGGGCCGGGCCGGGGCCGCTGCCGTACTTGGGAGGTGACTGATGCCAAGGCCACAGCACGCTTGCTTAAGTGGCGAGGAACCAGGAGGAGGAGGAAAAGGGAATCAAGGAGGAAAAGAAGTGGTGCTCCATTCAGGGGCACTCAGAGAGCTGGGGGTGCGGGATGTAGCAGCCGGGAAGGAGGGGCTGCCAGTGGGGCCAAGGGGCTCCAGGTAGGAGGGGCCAGCAGCATCCGCGCCCTGTGGGGCGCAGTCCAGCTTTATGTGCAAAAGGACAGAGTGTCTATGAGCTGGACATCCAGACAAGAAAGCATGTCACTTTACGGGGAAGGAGGCAGGCTGGCTTCGGACTTCCCCAGCACAGCACCCAGCCCGAGTGGAGGAGAGCAACAGCTGCAGACGCTGAAGGAGAGTGAAGGCCAAGGATTTGATATCTAGCCCAGCTGTCCTGCAAGCCTCGAAGCTACAGAATGAAGTTTTAGATCTGCCAACAGCTCAGGAAGTGTTGCTCCCTCGCACCAGTCATGAGATAGGAGGTTCAGCCGCTGTTAGCGGCTGGGGGTACTGGGGAACTTGGGTGCCGGCACTGGGGCGAACCTCAAAGGTATTTGACTGCAGAGTAAAGCTGAACCAGGACAAGACATCACAGAAAAATTTAAATGTCAAATCACCAGTAATATATCAAAGATCCGTCTAAGTAAATTGAGAGGAGGAGGTAAAAAAGGTGAGAAGTGGAGCAAGTCCTTAGGTGGTCTCAGCTGCAGCAGTCGGGACTTGAAATGACTCAAAGGACGAATTGGAAAGTGTTGTTAATGGCACAGATGTAAAACTGGGAAACGGGAAGGAAACCCACGAGCGGCCACAGGGAGCACTGCCGTGACAGTAGGAGAATTCAGCATGACGGCAGGGGGTAAAGTTAATGTGCAGCCATTATCTTCAAAAACACAAACTTACTAGAAGCTTTCTACACAGCCCCATTTACGGTAGCAATAAAAAGATGAAAAACCTGGGAATAAACATAATTAAAATATTCCACACCTATTCAGGGAAAGTTAAAACTCCTGATGACAACAAAACAAACCCAAACCAAATACATACATACATACATACATATATACATACGGCTTACGGGCCAGACAGTGGCGTGGTGGTTATGGCAGCTAGATTGCACGTGGCTGACTGTGTGGTTCAAGTACTGGAGCCAGAGGTTTGAAGAACACGCCAGGCACCAGGCATGTGTGCGTGCATGCCCAGATCCTGAAAGGCGAAATGAAGGAGTTGTGGCGTGACCATCCCTGATGGGGAGCGCTTTCTTGCTTCCCCTTTTTCTCTGATCCCACAAGCAAGTGTGCCTTCTAGCAAATGAAAAACAAAATAAAACATGGTGCTGGCAAGTGGCATGGCGTTTAAGGCACTGGACTCCCACACGTTGGACTTTGATTCGAGTCCTGGACCTGGCGACTTGCTTTCTCACTTTCCCTCTCTCTTTTTCTCTCTGATCAAATAAAAAAAAAAGATAAATAAATAAAATTAAATAAACAGTTATTTTACAACCCGAAAACCCACCATGGTTTGTGATAGGAAAATGTAGTAATATGATGTCATTTTTCCTGACGTTCATTTATAATTTTACTGTTAGCCCGGTAAATATACTGATTGATTCCCTAATTCCTAGAACTAGTTAAGTTGGCTTCTAAATTTCGTGTGAAAAATAAGCAAGAGGGCCAGCCTTGTAGCACAGTAGTTAAGTGCTGGGCATGGAGAGCCGGAGCCCACATGGCTGACTGTGGTTCAAATCCCAGCCCCAGCAACTTGAAAGACACGCCAGTTGCATGTGTGTGCATGCCCGGGAGCCCGAAGGACGGTAAGTGGAGGAAAAAGGATGGAAGCGTGACCACACCCCACTGGGGAGTGCTTTCTCTCCCGCTCTTTCTCTGGAGAGGAAGTGCACCCTCTGGCAGTTTTAAGTCAAAAGCAGTGAGAGCCAAGGAAATTAAACAGGAAAATAGAGATTGAAAACCAAACCCAAACCCGAACCCACAGGCCAGCCAGGGTGGTGGTTGTGGAGCTGGACTCCAGCCCTACCGGACGTTAATGTGCTGTAGAGCCTTGGTAACTGCGGTGCGGCGGTGGTGCGTGTAAGTTGGAAGGAACAAATTAGATGGCTCGGGGAGGGAGGATGTAATATATACATGTATGTATACGTACATGCACACGTACATGTAGGTGATAATTTAATGCATGAGTAAACTGGATCCTTGGATAGTGAAAAGTGGAAGCATGGAATTTTGAATGAGGGATGTTAAGACAAGTGGGTAGCCATATGGAAGAAAAGGAGGCTGCCTTTGACCCCTATACACCAGGGTAAATCCCAAATGGATCAGAAATTCGAATGTACAGAGTGTTGCTACGGTACTAAAACTGAACAGACAAGTTATTTGACAACTCGGTCTCCTGCTGAGATCCGAAACTCCAACCACTGCAGCAGAAAATGGTGACCAGTCCTACTACAAATGCATGTTTTTTGTTTTTTGGGGTTTTTTTTGAGAGGTTTTCGCTATAGGGCGCGTGCGCTCGCCAGACAGACAGAGACATAGAGACAGAAAGCGAGAAATCACCCCCCAGGGGGGATGGTCACGCCGCAATCCCTTCTCCTCCATTCTCCTCTCGGGATCTTGGGCACGCACACACACGCGCCTGGCGTGAGATTTAAGCCACCGGGTCCGAGATGCGAACCGTGGTCGACTATGTGCGAGTCCAGCGACATAGCCATTACGCTAACTGCTGGTTCCCTACAAATGCATGTTTTAATGACATGGAAAAGGCAGGACAGAGACTGTGCCAGCGCGGAGGTCTGTCCAGCCCCGAGGGTGTCATGCGCACAGCGACTTCCTCCTGGGGGCAGAATGGAAGGACAGCCCTTCTCGGCCGCTCCCACCTTGGCCCGGCCACTCCATTGGCACTGATGGTGCTGAGCGTGTGGGCAGCCCGTACCCTGACCTGATGAGACCAGAGGGCCCGTCACCTCTGCTCTTCCTCCCAGCCCACACCCTGGCATAGCCCCGAGGAAGCCCGACGCTCCCACAGAGAGGACTGCGACAGCACTCCTGACCAGGCCTCCAAACCGCCGCGTCATCGGGAGCAGGGAAGGCCGAGGAACGGCCACAGCCCAGAGGAGCCCAGGAGACGGGACGGCTGACTGTCACGTAGGATCCTGGAGGGATCCTAGGACAGAAAAAAGACCTTAGAGGGCTGGTGCCATGGTGGTTAAGACGGCTGGATCCCACATGGCCAACTGTGTGGTTCGAGTCCTGAATCTGGTGGCTTGAAAAAAAAAAAGACATTAGATAAAAACTAAGGCAATATTAAGTATGGGCATTAGTTACTAGTTGCATGTCAATATTGTTTCCTGGGTTGTGACAAACGTATCATAGTTAATATTGGAACTGGTCATGGCAGGGGGGTGGGGGGGGAGCGCCCAAACTCTCTAATCACTCTTGCAATTTCCCTGTCTGCCATCCTAACACTGCTCTCAAATAAACCAGCCAGTCCCAGATGTAAAGCCAGAAGATAAAAATGGAAACCAGGAACATGTATTTGCAGACGAAGAAGTATGCACAGCAGGTGTGTGCTGAGCCCCTCACCAGGGCCAGGTACGGCACTGGGCACGAGTCTCTGCCTTGCTGGTGACTGTTGCAGTCCCAGCAGGTCCCCAAGTCCTCTGGGAGTCTCACTCCAGCAGCCATGGGCTCTTACTGGGCGTATGTGTCACTAGAATGGCTCCTGTCACCGCTGCATGTCACACACTGGGAAAGGGGCTTCTGTGGGAGGTCACACCACGGGTGGGGTCTTGGCTCTCTGAGAGCCCTGTGTGCCACTGCAGAGGGTCAACAGGGAGCCACAAAGTGTGAATGAGCCCTGTGTGTGCGTGATGCCTTTTTATAAAGTCGGAAACGGGTCGGGCTACGTGCTGTCTTGTTTACACATGTGCACCTGCACCACGTGGGAAGGGCCTGGGCCCCTGTGCTGGGACCTGCCTCAGCACACAGCACACACATGCTTGTCCAGGGCCGGCTGGGCTCAGGGCAGGTTTCGGTGTGAGGATCTGTTGAAGGTTGTCCCTTCCTCTCTCTCATGGAAAAAAGAAATAATCTTGGAGAAGAGACGTATGGCTACACGTAGGAGATCACAGGAACGGGGGTGCCCGACCTCGGGGGAAGGGCGGCTGGGAGGGCGGCACGGGAGCAGGGTGGCCGATGGGCGGTGTGGGGTTAGGGCACGGTGGGGGTTCACGGCGCCCAGCTGAGTGTGAACTAAACGTGGGCCATCCGGAAAGTCCTCACGCATCGTCTTGTAGAAGGGCGGCGTGCCTTTCCTGACGACTTAATATGTAACGAAAGGAAGGAGCCAGGAAGGGATCCACGGCCTGGCCGCGTGGCGAGCAGGGATGCTGTTACCCGGCTGCCCCTCCGAAGGGTGTTTATCCGGCATGAGGAGCCCTCCGTCACTTTCAGGAGCTGCTCCGGTTGACTTGTGGACGATCCCTCTGGGGGTCCAGCTTCCCAGTGCTTTTCAGAAGCCAGCCTGGCCTGGGAGCCACGGCCCTGGGGTCCGGGCCCGCCCCTGCCACCGCAGGGGGCTCAGCAGGTGTCTTCGGCATGGCCGAGGGTGCAGGTTGTGCTGACGCTTGTTTTCTTCCCTCAGAAAATCGCCTTCATGGTAGCGCTAGGCCTGGTGACGACGGAGCACTTGGAAGGTAGGGACCACGGTGGGGTGGGTGGCAGGGGGGCAGCGCGCAGCAGCCCGGTAGGTCGGAGGGCGGCCTCCCAGGAGGCCTGCCAGGCGCCAAGGCTGGCCTGCAGAGACAGAGACCCCTCCCTCTGCCGGCCAAGGGCTGCCCAGCCGAGACAGAGACCCCTCCCTCTGCTGGCCTCTGGGACTCGCAGGACCCCCACAGCACTTACTGTCTCTGTGGAGGGACTGGGAGGGGGGGCCCACTTGACGCTGGACGCCACACACGGAGCAGCGAGCAGTGGCCTGGGCTCTCCCACTTGCTGGCTGCTTAAGCGTAGTAACCTCTCTGAGCCTCAGCTTCTCAGTGAAATGGGGTAGCCCTCGCGCTGGCACCGCAGGCACAGTGACTGCCCCCTGTGTCAGACCGGCCTGGCTCAGGTTTGCCACCGGCCATGGCTGTGGAGCTTGTGGGGTGAGCTGATGGGGCAGACAGGGCGGTGCGGGTCTGGAAAAGGGCCGCCGACCTCGCAGGCTCATCAGCCCTGCGTCCGGGCCTAGAAAGCATCAAGACACGCTCCTGCTGCACACGTGGGCAAACAGGCCCGAGACGTTGGCTCACCTGCCCGCAGTCACGTAGCCAAGGAGAGCAGTCAGGCCCAGGACGAAGTCCCGGACCCTCGACTCCCAACCCAGAGCTTTCTCCAGCACACCCTCACCTGTACAGACCTTGAGGAATATGAGAACGCACGCCCAAGGAAGTCTGGGGGCAGAAGGGAGGGCTCGTTTGTGTTCTCTTCTTAAAAGTGAGGGAAAGAAGGAAAGGAACTGAATTCGGGGTGCCTCTGGCGCTAGCAGTCTTTGACCTAAGGTAGAGGTTCTGAGTAACTGATGCCCAGGGGAGGGAGGGGCTGGCTGAGGTCACAGCTTGTGGGGGTCCAGCTGGGTCAGAGCGAGCCTCCCGGGGAGAGAAGGCTTCCTTCCTTCTCTGGGTCTGACTGGGGTGGGAGGGAAGGAACCACCTTCCGGACCTCTGGACTCCTCCTGCCCTGGCCCTGGGGCCGGGAGCTCTCAAGCTCTCCGTGGGGTTGGGCGGTGCTCCCTGAGCTTTCCACCGACCACCTGCACGTGAGCAGAGGAATCAGCTGTCTTCAACTGGCCTTTGAGAGCTGTCCTAGCTCTGGCTTTGGAGCCAGGGAGGCAGTGGGAACCAAAGTCCCGTGTTCAAGTCCCGGCCATGCTGCTCACCAGCTCCCTGCCCACTCTGAGCCTGTCTCCTGCCCTGCAGCAGGAGGGCAGCGGTGCAGCTGTGGGACTGAGGGGAGTGCTTCCCAATACACGGGGCGGCTGCCATGTCATAAATGGTCATCTTGAAAACCTCTCCCCCGAGATCCCCGAAATACTCGCTTCTCAGACCCACAGAGGGTCTGTGGTGGCCAACAGGAGATGCTGAGTAATACTGGGGAGTGAAGAAGAGAAGCCAGACAGCTGCACACAGGGGCAGGTCCCACCCGGCAGTCATAGCAAGAGAGGGGGAGACAGAGACAGAGAGAGACTCGGCCAGCATGCGCGTGCACATTAACGAGCTCCGAGAGGCAGCAGAGCCAGCCCTTGGTGCCGCGGGTAGATGTGCGTGGCTCTCCTGGAGCCGTGGCCTCTGTGGCTCAGCCAGACCAGCATCTCCCTAGTGGGGTCTGCTGTCCCAGGGCCTCAGGAGACAGCCACGGGCCAGATAATGACCCTGTGTTGAGGGTGGGCTCCTGCCAGGTGCCCCCTCACGTGCCGTTCGGCCTGGCCCCCACAGTGTCGCCGTCCAGCCATGGAAGATTCCTGGAGGCAGAGGCCGCAGAGCCTACGGAGCCCACGGGGCTGCGGTGCCCAGGTCTTGGCTTGGACGCTTGCGGGGTTCCCAGGGCAGGGAGGACCCAGTGACCTTTGTGTTCATGCCTTTCCAGAAATCCAGAGCAAGCGGCAGGAGCGGAAGAGACGGAGCACGGCCAACCCCGCCTACAGCGGCCTCCTGGAGACCGAGGTAGGCATCGGTCATCCTTGCTGTGGCGGGGGTGGGTG